TTGGCCTCTCTAAGTTCTTGATTGGGTTTAATGGGAATTTATCAGAAGTGTGTGGCATACATATTTGTCAAATGTTTTATTATATAGATTTTTTTTAAAGCTATGTGAATCTATATAGACCTCCCCCTACAACATGCCAGTCTCCAATATAGAGAAGTGAAATCCTACAGAACTTTTGATGGGTTTTATTAAAATAATTATTGCTCTCACAATTCTACAGACTTTGTGATTTGGGAAAAATAGACTTATTTTTAAAGTAAAGAAGAGAGGGACCTTTTTCTCTGTCTGATAGATGGAATTAAAAAGTAGAGTTGATTTTCTTTGAAATAAATGTATTCATCAGTGTTGTATTGATGAATTCCGCTTCAGTTTCTTTCAAAAATCAATTATGGTAAATACCACATGCCCTATTTTGTTCTTCAATTGTCACTTCTTCCCTAGGAGAGAATTGTGAGGACTTTCTTGGATAAATACCAAAATGTTCTTTATTCCCCTTCTTTCCATAAAGATCTTACCCTTGGTGGTTCCATCTTTTATTAATTATTTTTGTAGAAAGAGGTTTAAAACACAAGGTAATAAGACCAAATCCAAATAAATAAATAGTGTGTGACGTTTCGGTAACATCGTTGTTACCGAAACGTCACACACTATTTATTTGGATTTGTTCTTATTACTTTGTGTTTATAATCTATAATCCAAATTGTGCCTTATCATTTGTAGAAGAGTTTGTATTCTTCAAACCATTGGGAATGCTTAAAGGTTCACTGTTATGGAGGGAGAGATTCAATTAGAAAGCTATCACCTGTCTTATCTGATCTCTGAATCATTGATAAAAAAAATAATTTTAAATATTTTGATATTTTGTTTCTTCTCTCTCTTTATTTAACAAGTGATTTATTAACAAGACCAAACACAAGGTAATAAGACCAAATAAATAAATAGTGTGTGTATTTATTTATTTGGATTTGTTCTTATTACCTTGTGTTTATAATCAATCTATAATCCAAATAGTGCCTTATCATTAACAAGACCACTTCAGAGATTTCCTTTTTAATAGATTTCCTCTACCATTTTCCTCTTCACTGATGAAAGGAGAGAGATTATCCTCACTCACTGTCTGTGTTCTGGATTTTTTTTAAAACTTATTCCAAATACATGTGGTCAAGGCCATGATAATCATGGTAGGTAGTTAAACACAATAATAATCATGGTGGATAGAGATGGACAAATATGATTTATTGGCAACCATCACTTGCAGTTCATCTGGTCACCGTTCAGTTTCAACAAAATTGGATTATTTGGTCTTGTTATCATATGGATCTGTTAGAAACAAATTAGTTAATGTATACTAATCATTATTCAGATCCCCACCCCTTCTATTTAATTTTCTTATATGTTTGGCTTTGTTGTTGTTTTCTCTCACATCTACACACTCTAACCTATTGTGGCACAAGGTAATAAGACCAAATCCAAATAAATAAATAGTGTGTGACGTTTCGGTAACAGCATTGTTACCATCTAGTTAAAAATATATATACAGTTAAACCTGTCTATAGCACCCCCTCTAAATAGCGGCTTCCTCTCTATAGCGCCCGATTTTAAATATGTAATACGATGCGATTCACATTAAAAATGACCTGTCTATAGCACCCTATTTTGGTGAGTCCCAAGAGGGGGCGCTATAGACAGGTTTAATTGTATATTAATTTAGATGTAATATAGAGGCAATAAATATTTAGAATAATTTTTAAGATTTGAAAACTTGTGATTCTCCCCCAAACTTGCTCCCTCCAACTGGGTGTGTCCTCCAGATCTGCAAGAAATACCCTGGCTACTTGAGGGTAGCCATCGCAGACCCACAGCCAGACCGCAGGTTCTTCCGCAGGGGCTGGGTGACCTTCAAGCCCAATGTCAACATTAAAGATATCTGCTGGGATCTCAACAACATCCGCGTAAGTTGTGTGCATTGAAAGATCTCTATTTATATAGCTGAGTGTTTCTTGTGCTGAGAACACCCCACACTTAAAAAGAGCCCCTCTATCCTTTTCTCTTGTCTCAATACCATACAAACTATGTTCCTCTTGCTAATTATACTTCTATTTAAAACCTTATTGAGATTTTATAGGAAAATATGAGGGGGACATTTTGTTATCAAAATATATATATAAGGGATAGAGCTCACATTTAATTCAATCAATGCCATATTTGAAGATTCAAAACCAAGGTTTTCACCTCTATAAAATGTATCTGAAAAAAATAGATAATTAGGTTTATCAGAGCCTGGAAATTAACCAACCAGTTGGTGCAGCTCCGGGACTATGAGCTGGGAGCCATCGTGAACAGGGACCTCACCCGGAGGATCCGCATGGTGAACGGCATCACCTCCCACAAGGCAGTTGCCAGGTCGGATGTGAAGACAGCAGCCAGGCTGGTGCACCACCTAGACAGCCAGAAGGGGGTGTGGGGGGAGGAGGGTCCCAACCCCCTGCTCCAGAACATCACAGACTACCTCATTGAGGAAGCCAGCGCTGAAGAGGAGGAGCTCCTGGGGGTCAGCGCCAATGCTGAGGACCATGAGGAGGAGAGTGTGCTGGAGCGGGATGAGCCACTTCTCCAGGTACGGCTAACTTCCATCCATAGTCTAGCTTAGTGTTTCCTATTTCTATAATTTAGCCTAGAATAATCTCTCCAATACCATAAAACTGATCATGTTAATATTAATTGCAATATATATAACTTCATTTGTCAATCTGACTCAATATGTAAGTGTGTAAGGGGGAAAATCTAGAAGGTTCTCGTTTTATCAAATAAAATTTGAAATAATTTAATATATACGAGGGGTGTCCCATAAGTCCGTGGCCCGACATATAAAGAAAATGACTAATAAAATGATTATGATTTATATTTCAACATAATCCCCTTTAAGGTCTATACACTTTTTCCAGCGATGTTCTAATGCTTTTATGCCCTCCAAAAAGAACGATGTTTCAAGTGACTCAAAAAATAAGGTTACAGCATCAATGACCTCTTCATCTGACCTAAAATGAATGCCAGAAAGTAATTTTTTCAAATGAGGAAATAGGTGGAAGTCAGACAGAGCTAGATCTGGTGAATAGGGTGCATGTGGTAAAAGTTCAAAGCCAGAATCATAAATAGCAGCCATGGCTTGTAGCGACCGAAGACTCGGAGCATTGTCTTGATGGTGAACAATCTTCCTGGACAACATTCCTCTTCTCTTTTCCTTGATAGCTTCTCGTGGTTGCTTCACAAGATTTGCATAATAATTGCCAGTGATGGTTTGACCCTTATTCAGAAGTCTAGAAGAAGTAGACCCTCGGAATCCCAAAAGACAGACACCATAACCTTCCCTGCTGATGGAACTGTCTTGGTTTTCTTGGGGAGAGGGGAACCGGAGTGTCTCCATTGCATGGATTGTTGCTTGGGCTCTGGTGTAAAGTGATGGGCCCAAGTCTCATCCATGGTAACAAATCTATTAACAAATTCCTCTGGATTGGCTTCAAATAACGCAAGATTGTCCGAAGATAACTTTCTCCTTACAGCCTTTTGATCGGGTGTCAAAAGTTTGGGAACCCAACGGGCAGAAAGCTTCCTGAGGCCCAAGTGTTCTCTCATGATCCGATCCACTGTTATTTTTGGAATAACCAAGGACTCTTCTATCTGACGAACTGTCATTCTTCTGTCCAGCATAACCAAAACATGTATCTTGTCGATGTTTTCTTGAGTAACTGACTCAACAGGTCTTCCAGGTCGATGTTCGTCTTCGGTGCTGATCCGCCCTAATTTAAACGTAGTTACCCATTTTTTTACTGTGCTATAGGGAGGAGCATCTTCCCTTAATGTATCCACCATACCCTCATAGATTTCCTTCGGCGACATTCCTTTCTTACAAAGATATTTTATTACAGCACGAATCTCATTTGTCTCCATTTTAGATGATTCCTGTTTCTTGTCCGCTTTCAGAACCCATAACAAAAAAAACGGTTAGTTCTAGAAACTTAAAAATTTACACATCTTTATACAAGGCTTTAAGTTATATTTGGTAAAATTTATTAGTTTCAAATATTTCGTTCTCATGGTCGGGCCACGGACTTATGGGACACCCCTCGTATATACAAAACACACAAGTAGAACTTCCATGAGAGGACTCTCTCGCTAGAGGACACCTCTCTACAAAAAGTACAGTTTTCATCAACAGCATTAAACTTTTCACTGATTAGCAAACCTCTGGTAAGAGGCCACTTTTCCCTAAAGAACACTGCTTATGCAACTAGATGTCCTTTACAGAGAGGTAGTTCTACACTGTGTAAATATATTCACACACCTGAGGTTGGTGGTAGGTCCTGGACCGCCTAGTTCTCTACCTCCGTGTGGTCCACTCCGTGGACTACTACAACTGCTCAGACTACCCGAGTGAGGATGAGATGCCCAATCGCTGTGGGCTGCTCCACGTGAGAGGATCCGCCCCCTCCTCCAAGGTGACCCAGCAGGAAAGTAAGTAACACTGCTGACTCCACAGCCAGTCACTGACCTTGTGGCCTCAGTTAACAGCTACCTGGAACCTTTCAACCAGAAGATCCAAGCCTTCCTTCAACCCCAGACACGCCTCTCTGAGGAGGAGGCTCTCAGGATGGGCAAGAAGGATTCGGAAGTGTATCCTTTCTTTGCTGAGCAAGGCAGTACAACCTCCATGAGAGGATACAATGGACACTTTTCATAACCAAAATTATTATTTTTTTTACCAATTAGCTTCTCTCTATAAAGGACACTTTGGCCCTGCAACTAGGTGGTGTCCTTTACAGGAAGGTAGTTCTACTGTATTAATAAATTGTGTAGGTCAGCAGTAACAGGAAGGGCATTGTAACAGTTGCCAATCAAGATATTGAATGATGGAGCAGTTTTAATGGTTACGTACTGCAAAGTGCAGTGTTGAGAGTAAAACATGAAGTATAGACTATTCAGAAGGTTATCATCATGATTCTGTCATATTGGCCCTTCAAGGGGGTCGGTGGAAGGCTAGTTAAACCGTTTGGTTTTCGACCACTACGACCCGGGTTCGATTCCCGCATTGGACACTTTTTTCTGTTAAAAAAAAAAAAAAATGCTCCAATGGCCCCCGATTCTTGCAAAAGTCCAACCCCACCAGCGAGTGCAAGTAACCAAACGCGGCTCTGGCACATTTGTAAGTGCAAAGTCTAACTGCTTTTCACATGTGTAAACATGTGGTGCACTTACAGTAAAAAGCAGTCGCTAACTACCCACCATGATTATCATGGCTTTGAGATAAGAGAGAGGGGGCCCTTCAATGATTGTCCCTTTTAGGTTTTTTTTGTCCAAAGTCTTTATTATTTGAGTCTTACTATTCCAAGCCTAACAGTTTGGTCAATTGTAACCGCACTTTGTTGTAAAGGTTTCCAAACTGATAGTGCAGTAATATTTCCATGAAGTGGACACCCATCATCTGTAGACATTGTAGTTTCCTTGACCCATATTTGCAGTGAGGTGGAGAAATTTGTCCAGTCCAACACCCAGGAGCTTGGGAAGGACAAATGGCTCTGCCCTCTTTCAGGAAAGAAATTCAAAGGCCCAGAGTTTGTGCGCAAGCACATCTTCAACAAGCATTCAGACAAGGTGGAGGAAGTCAAAGAAGAGGTGAGCGAGTCCACACAGTTTGGTAAACTGCCTTCTCCCTCACTTTACACAAAACTATGTGTAATTGACTTTTTGTCCACCTGCTGACTTTTGTCCCAGAAGAGCATACTAATCATTTTTCACATTCTTGTTTTTGGTAAATAAACTATAAGGAGGTAGGGGCTAGTGTAAAAGTGAAGATTCTGTGGGACATAAGGAAAGCACTAGTTTATAAGCAAGTCTTGTGGAAAAGGCTAGTATAAAATTTGTGCTTCTTATCATTTCCCTTATGTCCCAAAGAAGCACAAATTTTATACTAGCCTTTTCCACAAGACTCACTTATAAACTAGTGCTTCCCTTATGTTCCACAGAATCTTCATTTTTACACTAGCCCCTACCTCCTTATAGTTTATTTACCAAAAACAAGAATGTGAAAAATGATGTGAAATAATGAACTGGTGCTTCTTTGGAACATGAAGGAAATGCTAGTGTAAAACTGGTGTTTCTTTGGAACATGAGGGAAAGACAGGTTTAGAACTGGTGCTTCTGTGGGACTTGAAGGAAGTGTTTTGTCCCAGGTGGAATATTTCAACAACTACCTAATGGACCCCAGGAGGCCGCAGTTGCCAGAACACCCAGCCAACAAGGGCAGGCCAGATATGATGGGACCACCATTTGGTGGACCTCCCTTTATGCGACCCATGCCTCCCGCTATGGGTTTTCCTGGTAGGTCCATCTCTATTCCTCAGCCTTCCATTTCATGATCATCCCGGCTGTGGCAGGATTTGGCAGGCCCGATATGTTTGGAAGGCCATTCAAGAGGACATATGGTGGCAGGTAAGTGGCATAGCAATCACAGTAGAAATAATCCTATTGCCAACTCTGACACACTAGCAATATCACCATTTCTTCCTAATTTGATTTTTTATCATGGTATAATAATGATCCACAATTTGGAAATCATGAGGTAAGATCAAAGGCTAATCAAACTAATTACAAATAGATATTGTCATGTATAATTTACTTATTATAGTAAATTAAATATTTTATGCATTGTTTTGATCTGGAAAGTCCTCAAAATCAGATCAAGTGTGTACTTGGCCTTTTTCCATGAAAACAAGAATTATTTTTGCCCAAATTTTTAATATATTTGTATATTATTTGTATTTTAGTATTGAGTAAAAATATTGGGGCTTCAGGGAAAAAGTATCTTTCTAAAAACTTTTATCTTTCAGGCACGAACACTTTTCTACAGGAGAAAACATGGTACAATAGATTCTCCTGTAGAAGGATGTTCGTGCCTGAAAGCTAGAGATTAAAGTTTTTGGAAAGAAACTTTTCCCTGGAGGCCTGATATTTTAACTCGAGGGATTATTTTTTGAAATGTATTTTAGTGTGTTGTTGTTAGTGCCCATCATCTTAAAACTATTTTCAAAATGTGAAAAAATAGCACAAATGTGACATTGTACTGGGATAAGGTGCATAAATTATGAAAAAGGCATCTCCTTATCGTGCAACTGAAAGTTGCTGATGGCTTGCGTCATCTATCGGAATAAATAATTTCAGAATAAATTTATTCCGATAGATGGCGCAAGCCATCAGCAACTTTCAGTTGCACGATAAGGAGATGCCTTTTTCATATTTTCAAAATATTTAAGTAAAATAGCTTTTTCTCTATTTTATTCTTCTCTCTACCACTCTGGCAGATAAAATCATCATTTATATTTAAAGGAAACATTTGTGTTTTATGGTTCTAGTTCTTGTGTATAGATGGTGTTTATAAAATACTTGTTCCTTGTGATGTCCTCTTACCTGAGAGTTGCTAATTAGTTAAAATTATCATTTTGGTGATGGAAACTGTTCTTTGTAGAGAGGTGTCCTCATGGAAATTCTACTGTATAGATATTTTGAGTTAGGCAGAGATGAAGTGACAGTACTCATTGAGATAACACCAATGGCTTACAATTTTTATGATGGCACTAGTTTCAATACATGTTGTAGTGCTACAAGTGTATCACCCCCTATTGATTCACATTTTATAATTCACTTTGTCAAGTCTCTACTATGAACCAAATGTGAATGCTAATTACCTGATTTTCAAGGTATTGGGTCTAGTCAGATTTTTTTAACCTTTGTTCAACAAACAGGAACAATTCTATAATATTTCTGTAAAGATTTAGTCTGGTTACTTATTTCTTAACCATTGATTTGCATATCTCTTTTTGTGTAACATTCAGGACAGTGTAAGGTAGAAAGTTCTTGTTTTAACAAGTCTAGCTGACATTCAAGTTCAATCGTTCTTATCAGTTTTGTTAGATTCTTTTAAACAATAAAAAATATAAATCTCCATGTTAAAAAACGATTTTGTAGAAGAAAAGAATCTCCTGATGGTGCAACTAAAAGTTTCTGATGGTTTATGGCATCTGAAAAGATATCATCTCTGCTAAATGTCAACACCCCCTGTCTGCAGGTACTCAGACCCCAGGAAGATCATCCCCTACCGAGACTTGGACGCCCCAGAGGACGCGGACATCTAGAAGCCCATCATGTCATTTTAATAAAACATTGGAGAGAGGAGATCACAATAGTGTTTGTTGGTTTATTTGTAGACACATCACCTTGGTCCCAACATCTAGTGGAAGGTCAGTACACTCTCTATCTACAGCACATTTACAAAAATATCCTTCCTTCTCCCTAGTTAGCCACAAATATGAACACATGGTTGTTGACCTCCGTGGGGGACAGCTAGTGGGGAGCTAGTCACTGTCAAAGTGGATGTTGGTGGAGTGGTGGAAGCGCTGTCTGCCAGCGTAGTCCGAGTTGTCCTGGGTCAGCTGGGAGGCTGTCACCTCCACTCCTGGGTGGACTGGGGCCACCACAATCTGGTCTCCATCCACCGGTCGACACCTTCAACATGGTGTACACTTGGTTAGAAACATCATTCAATATAGCCCCCCTTCATGGAGAATCACATTTTAAAAACTAAAAAATATTTACTAATAATCCACATTCACTCATGAATTGACTGTATTGACTCATCCATTGATGAGTTCTACTCATCTCAACAGATACCATCAAAAAGTCTCAATCTTTACAAGCTTGATACCCTAATATGATTGTGTGGAGATAAGAAAGAAGGAAAAGACTCATGAATTATATATATACATCCTTATTTTTACATATCTATCCAGCCCCTCACCCTATTTACATACTATTTAAAAAACTAAAATTGAAGGCATTATCCTAAGGTGAATAGGGGAGCTTGGAGTAAACATCTGAAGTACATTTTAACACAATTTATTCTAAACTAATTTTTCAGAAAAAGAACCACAACTCTTAAATTACAAATATATATAAGAGATAAGAAAAAACATCTCTTAATAAGTATGTAGATTAGATATTTGGTCCATATAGTTTTCTAAGCAGTGCTTGGTACAGAAGTGGTTTGCCAGTACCTTCTTCCATCTATGCTGTTGGCCAAATAAATTTGGCTCTTCCCTCTTTTTGGAGATATTTCCCCCCCCCCCCCCCCCCCCAAGAATAAGAAAGTGTCCTTCTTCATTATAATAATGAAGTTAAAAGCTTATCCTGGCTTTCCTTCAGTCCCATTGTGTGTTAGCAATCTCATTAGGATGTTCCCCCGCCCTCTAATGGGGTTGTACTCACACTTGGGAATACAAATAGGGGTTTTCCATTCATTGGGATTGAGACCAAATGGCAAAACACTCCAGTACTTTTAGAAAGAGCTGCTCCTATAAACAGATAACAAAGAGAGACAGGAAAATGCTTCCTGGACTTACCCGAGACAGCGGAGAAACAAGTTCTTCAGCCAGGGGAAGAGTTGAAACGCCGACACCCCTGTACACCCAACAGTCCAGAGCATTTAAAAGAGAGAAATTATCAAAATAAATTGTTAATGCTAGTTTATTAGTGTGATTTTTGGCATTTCTACAATTCTACAAAAGACTGATAATTATCATTATCTTTATATATATATTTATGTTTAATTAAAAAGGCATATATTGGATCAAAAAACATTTATTTTACTAATATATACCTTTTTAATTAAATATTTATGGATTGCTCTATTTTCAAAATATATTTAGGTATATTGACAAATTATATTAATTACGATTATATATTCAATAAATGCAAAAGTAATATATGTGGTATACAGGCCATGATAATCATGGTGGGTAGAAGTTGGCAATTA